TATTGTACGCACGTATTGCACGTAACAGCACGTATTGTTTATACATGCGTTATACACGCTGGCGCTGAGCCGCAGAGCTGCAGCTGCTGCTGCTGAATGTACTGTGTCCGATTTGAGCTCAAGTTGGATGAGTTACGCGTAGTAAATCGTAGGTATTATAAGGCTAGTAAATGACGAATTTCCCTTGTTTATTGTTGTCACACTCCTCCCTATTATACACTCCTGATATATATATATATATACTACTGTATACTATACATTATGATAGGCCTTTATGGCACAGACACAGTGATGTGAACCGCATTTCTACCTCATGTATCGTAAAGTGTGAAACCAAATCTCTACTACGCTGTGCCTAATTGTGTACGTATTTCATCGCGTGTTTGGGCGGCGGTCTTTTCCAGGAATCAATGCTGTAGTGCGGAGGTTTGAGTGGGTGGAGAATGACTACAGCCTAATAACCAAGGCTATGTCACAGGTAGGATCTTTGTCATCAGCAGGTGAATGCATGCTTTATTATCCATGTTACACGCATTGGATGGAGTCTGAGAAATTAGTATAAAAGGTTCGGGAATATTTAGTCATTAGTAGTTATTACTGTAATGTGTTTTCTTCGATGTAATATATACGTACGTAACTCCCTTACACAAAATTAGTGGAAACGTCAGTGTCTGCACTAACATGAGTAGACTGGGTTTTATTGCTAATTCCGCTAATTTCCAACTTGCTTGTCATAGAAATGCGTGTCAAATGTTGCTAAAAAAATATACAAGAAGAAATTGTAAAAATTATATGGAATTTTGCTTGAGATAAATGGTTAATGTATTCACTCATGCTCCCTGTGTAAGGTTAGTGTGCTCTGTGTGAGTGATTTACCATCCAATTTTTAATGTGTGTAGGGTAAATAGGCTGTCAGTTTATTTATGTAGTTGGCATATATATGAATGGCATACGTAATGTAGGTCTTTATGTAGATATATTTACTTATATACGTGCATGTGTGCGCGCACACACACGAGTGTATATTTATTTACATAGCCATATATAGTTGTGAATGCGTGACCATGTGTATGTGTGTGGGAATAACAGAGCCTGTCATTATTGCATCCGCAGAGTGACAAGGCACTTCCCGAATTCCTGAAGAGGAAAATGAGTAGTGTCATCTACCCACTGCTGTCACATGCACAGCTAAGCGTGAGGGAAAACGCCACAAAGGCATTCTCTTCGTTTCTCTCCAGATGCGAATTTTCTGTATGTGTGTGTGTTCTGTGACAGGCACGTAGGTGGCAGCATAGAATTAGATTCCACTCAAATAGCAATAATACATCAGTGAAGTTTTTTTTTCAATGTGAAAATAGTTTTATAGAATTAAAAAATATGTGATAAGGCAACGCTTACTCGATTTCTCATTTGTTGCTACTCATGCAACACAACAAATTAGGCGAACTGATTTTTATTTTAATGACTATTCCCATTTTTCTGTCATCAGTTTGCCATTAATTTGTGTTAATTTTTAGATAATATTTATGCTGCATTCTAACTGACCCATCTCCGCTCAGCGATAATGAAAACTAAAGCATTTAAGGTTGCTTTCATGTGCATTAGTAATGATGGCCTTTAGTACTAAGCGCTATCTAACACGCCTTGGCAGCGGTGTGGTGCTTTGCAGGAGGCCTTTACGTCATTCAAGGACATAATCCTGCAACTGTGTCAGGGAACAAGAGTCACTAGCAAGCACTTCGAAATTGATACCCCTGTGAGTGATTGGGATCCGATGGGAATGTTTTTTAATGAATTCATAATCCCATACGGTTTCTACAGTGTGGTGTGAGGATAGATTTATACATATATGAGAATTGGTATTGAATGTTTGAAATCGTATATAGTGACACTAGTAAGTAATAACAGTGATAATAGTAATACAGGCATCTCTCCCAATACCGACCAACCTCGGGACCGTTAATTTAGTTCGGTTTTCTGTGAAGTTTGGTTTATAGGTGGCCTATTCCAGGCATATGTAACTTGTCTCAGTTTTGACTTAAAAATTATCTTCCAGTTAAATGTGAGATTCGGTTTTGTGGGCGTTCGGAATTTGGAGAGTTGACTGTAGCAGTGCTAGTAGTAATACTACTAATAATATTAATTATAATAATAAACAAAGGTAATGCTGATGATTTACTTATGGTAATAATTAACAATGGTAATAATATTAATAACAGTAATAATAATAATTGACAAAGGTAATAATTTTTTCCGAAAATTCTGTTGCAGTGTGAAGACCTGCCACACACGGCCGTGCTGGAGGCAGAGTATGAGTTCCTGGATGCGTACGTTGCAGAAGGTCTGCTAGGAGTCTGCGTGTTCCTCATCAAGGTACCCCTCGTAGAAGACTCTACTATAAGCCGTGGCTAATAGCTATGAGATATAGTTAACGAATACCTAGAGTAACTCATGGTTTATCTGACTGTAGCAGAGGGCTTTTCTATTGACCTGCGCATCTGAGAGAGATAGCCTCTGCCTTGAATATCGTGGCTAGGTCCGTTAAGCTACACCAGCTAATTGCTATGAAACGAACAGCTCGGCTTTACTAGATATTGTATGAATCTGTTTCCAAAAATATACAAAATTTGTGACCGTGTTCGTTTTCAGCACATTCCGCCCGTGTTCCTGCTGCCTAACTGGCCGCTGTACATTTCCACCTTCAATCTCTACCTGGCGCATCCGGCTTCCACCGTGAGACAGGCTGCCAGCAATCTCTTCAAATACATGGGTAAGATCATCGCGATTCGGCGATACTAGGCAGTTATCAGAAATGTCCCAGTCGAGATTTTAATCTTAGTTGTATGATATTCTACTTGTTTAAGGTAGTCGGCGAATCATTGAGCCTAGGCTACCCTTATTTATCATCATATATTATTTTTTACTTTATTATTTAATAAATTAATTAAAATTATTAATTGAATTATTAATATATTAGTTATTATTATTAATAATAAATGTTGAATATATATTTTTGAATGGTATTATTATTAACCTCTGCATTGTGCTGTTGATGATTATTTCAGGCTTTTCCGAAATTTGTTTTGCCAACAGTACACGTGACATAATACATTGCCATATGCGAGAAGAATATGTATTCTTTAGTTTCTGGAACCCACAAATTTGTTCTCAGTGGCCAAAGGTAGTCACAATCCAGTGCAACTAAAGACCGTCCTGCAAGGATTGGCAACTGAGTGGGAACCCAGCCAGGAGTGTTTGGAACAGTCTCCACCAGAGGCCAGCACCAGTCCGTCACTACCTGGCAGACCCTCTATACGGAAGCTGAGGCACAGATCCTGCTCAGGTGTGGTGGAGGGAGGGCAGGCTGTATTACTGTGTGGTGGAGGGAGGGCAGGCTGTGTTACTGTGTGGTGGAGGGAGGGCTACCAAAACCAGGTCACTACGACCTTTATTTGACCTTTACCTTGACCTTGATCATATTTCCCTTCTGCTCTATAACTCGGCCCCTAATTGACCTAGCGCGACCAAACTTGGTATACTTACACATCTTGGGGAGAAAGTGTGTCGCGTACTGAAACCAGGTCACTGCAACCTTTATTTGACATTGACCTTGACCTTGGCCTTCATCATATTTCCCTTCCGCTCTATAACTCGGCCCCTAATTGACCTAGCGCGACCAACCTTCGTATACTTACACATCTTGGGGAGAACACGGGGGATACATGTAGTTGGCGACAACTGCCCCTTCTAGTTTAATATAGAAAGCCACTTGGCTGTCTAATGCCAGCCAAATGAAGATGTAAGATTGTGGTAATGATGGTGATACAGATAGAGAAATCTAGTGTTTCACCTTTGAGTCACCAAATACTACATCATAATTCATGACCGCCCATAAAAATGAGGCAAAAAACAGGAAACCTCTCTACGGAGTAACGGAGGTACGCCCTAACCCGTCTTCTTGGAAAACGCTAAATATGGCCTTCATAGACAACAGGTGACCTCTCTCCAGAGGTACGCGCTAACGCATCTACTCGTCTTCGGAGGAGATCGTGCTCCGTAAAACAGCCAATCCTCTCTGCGGAGATGCGCGCTAACGCATGTTCTCGTCTCTTCGCAGGAGATCGTGCTTCGTAAACGAGTGACCTCTCTGCGGAGGTGCGCGCTAACGCGTTATCTCGGGAAACGCTAAATGTGGCCTTTATAGACAACAGGTGACCTCTCTGCAGAGGTATGCGCTAACGCACCTACTCGTCTTCGCAGGAGATCATGCTCCGTAAAACAGGCGACCTCTCTGCGGTGGTGCACGCTAACGCGTGATCTCGGAAAACGCTAAATGTGGCCTTTATAGACAACAGGTGACCTCTCTGCGGAGGTAAGCGCTAACGCGTGTTCTCGTTTCTTCGCAGGAGATCGTGCTGCTCGGCCTCATGGACGTGTGGTCGGCCGTGCGCAACGCGTGCTGCTGTCGTCTGCCGGACATCGTCGGCGAGCTCAGCCTCGCCGAGCTCGAGGACCTCTTCACCGACCTGGTGCTCGTCTGCGAAGGACGCTCGTCGACGTGGCAGGCCGTAGAGGGCGCCGTCATGGGTGAGAGCGCGGGATGGCAGCGCGGCGCCGCTTTTCGTTGTCGAGCGACGGAGGTTCGAGCGTCGGGGGGGGGGGGTAATGATTGTAGAAAAGCAGTAATAATAATTGCAAAAGTGCAGTAATATTGATTGTAAAAATGCAGTAATAATGATTGTAGAAAAGCAGTAATAATGATTGCAAAAGTGCAGTAATATTGATTGTAAAAGTGCAGTGATAATGATTGCAAAGGTCTGGTGATAAAGATTGTAAAAGTGCAATAATAATGATTGTAAATGTACAGTAGTATTGATTGTAAAAGTTCAGTGATGATGATTGTAATCGCCCTTTTCTCCGTAGGTTCGAGAATTCGTTATTGAGATGTAAACTAGGATGGTTACCCTATTAATCACTCAGCGTTTGATAGCTTTGAGAATGTGGTAGCTTAGAAGGAAGGTATGCTCGTGGATACTGATCGTGATTGTATCCCCCGCGACGAAGTCGGCGGGGATACTATGCAGGGTTTTCATGATCTTTTATAGTAACAGGCCGAAATGCTTTTGCAACAGGCCGTGGCGGTGTGCGGGCGGGGGGTTTGGTGGTTACCCTCCCCATTATTTTTTTTTAAACCCATATATGCTCTGAGATGCAATCTGGTGTATTCTGAGCTGCAGTAAACAAACACATTTGGATTACAGTATGGTCATTTTTTCCAATTTGGTTTCTCCTGGTACATTCAGAGTTCACCAAAAGTTTCCAAATTATGACGATTTAGTAATTATAAGAGTTAGACAAGTACGCAAATACTAAATAGCGTTACTCAAAAACAAAACAATGCGTCTTGTGCACATAACATGCATACAAATATACTCAACTGATTTATTAGTAGTAGCTCATAAAACACTTTCACTTTGGAGAATAATTAGAGCAAACTAAATGCAAAAAAAGATTTGGTTCGGTTTTTTTTTGTTTTTTTTTAATATACTTGAGCCAATTGTAACCGGCCGAAACAGCAGAGTAGACGGTCAATTCGGCCGGTGGCCGGTTCCTAATGAGAACACTGACTATGGTTTCATGTCTGTACAGCCGCCGCCGCTCGGTCCGCCGCAGAGATTTTCTCTTCCGCTCTATAACTCGACCCCTAATTGACCTAGCGTGACCAAACTTGGTCTACTTACACATCTTGGGGAGAAGGTGGGCAGCGTACCAAAACCAGGTCACTGCGACCTTTATTTGACCTTTACCTTGACCTTCATCATATTTCCTTTCCGCTCTATAACTCGGCCCCTAATTGACCTAGCGCTACCAAACTTGGTATACTTACACATCTTGGGGAGAAGGTGTGCAGCGTACCAAAACCAGGTCACTGCGGCCTTTATTTGACCTTTACCTTGACCTTGATCATATTTCCCTTCCGCTCTTTAACTCGGCCCCTAATTGACCTAGCGCTACCAAAACCAGGTCACTACGACCTTTATTTGACCTTTACCTTGACCTTCATCATATTTCCCTTCCGCTCTATAACTCTGCCCCTAATTGACCTAGCGCTACCAAACTTGGTATACTTACACATCTTGGGGAGAAGGTGTGTTGCGTACCAAAACCAGGTCACTACGACCTTTATTTGACCTTTACCTTGACCTTGATCATATTTCCTTTCCGCTCTATAACTCGGCCCCTAATTGATCTAGCGCTAACAAACTTGGTATACTTACACATCTTGGGGAGATGGTGAGCAGCGTACCAAAACCAGGTCACTGCAACCTTTATTTGACTTTTACCTTGACCTTGATCATATTTCCCTTCCGCTCTATAACTCGGCCCCTAATTGATCTAGCGCTAACAAACTTGGTATACTACATTTATCTCAAGCAAAATTCCATTTTTAATGTTTTAAAATGTCTTCTTGCTATATTTTTTTAGCAACACATTTGACACGGTTTCTATGACAAGCAAGTTGGGAATTAGCGGAATAGCAATAAACCCAGTCTAAACTGCATTTAGTGCAGGACACTGAACGTTTCCACTTGAATTTTGCTGTAAGCGGAGTTACGTAGTATATATTACATCGAAGAAAACACATTACCAGTAATACACTACTAGATGACTCAATTTCGCCGAACCTTTTATTTTATAATTCTGCAGACTCCATCAGATGCGGCATGTAACATGAGTATAATAAGCATGCATTCTAACCTCGCCTGATGACAAAGATCGCTACTGTGACATAAGCCTTGGTTATTAGGCTGTAAGTCATTTGTGTCCACCCACTCAAGAACCTCGCCGCCACTACTAGCATGATTTCCTGGAACAGAGCCGCCGCCCGCAAACACGCGCCGATGAAATACGTACACAATTAGGCACAGCGTAGGTAGAGATTGTGGTTGTCATCCACTTTACGATTACATGTGAGTGTAGAACATGCGGTTCACATCTCACTGTGTCTGTTGCCATAAAGGCCTATATATTTTTTAAATTGCGGCTTTAGTATACAGTAGTTTAGTATATATATAAGATATATATATATTATATATATATAATATTATATATACTCAGGAAGTGTATAATAGGGAGGAGTTCTGAACCAACAATAAACAAGGGAAAATTCGTCATTTACTAGCCTTATATACCTACGCATTATACTTTACGCGTAACTCATCCACTTGAGCCTCAAATCGGACACAGTCATTCGCCTCTCATCGTACGAAATCTTTGCTCGCTAGACACCCGCCAATCCGAAGATACAACCTGAAAACCATACGACACGATTCTCAATCTTTGGCCATATCAACGCTAGGAGCGCGCTATGATTCAGACAAAAGGCAGCACGAGTTGACCGCTGCCGCTGCGTTTGCTCTGTCTGGAATGTTAGGAAACTGTGGCGTGTGGCTCGCCGAGGAGATTGGACATCGACGCAACCATAGACGCAACGGACCGATTTGCGGCTGGCTATTGTAACCTGTAACGCTGTAGCCTTGGAGCGCTGCAGCGACGCGGAAACACTTGGCGTGCATCTGTATTGTCTGTTGTTTCTCGCTAGAGCCGATAAGCAGTAGCATACTACCCAACTTCGGTTAGATTATCTATGCGATAAGTGAAATATCACATGCCACCGAGTAGAATAATCCTTATGAAAAGACAGGAAGACGAAAACTACTTCCCTCTGCCACTCACGACTATATTTACAACACTTATTGGTCCAACCCTACTGGCAGGCAATATTTAATTTTCTCGCGCATACTTGAAAGCAACAAGCCTAGACTTCTTGAGTGCATAAATTTGCCACTGAGTTTCAGTTTGTAGTCGTTGTGGATAGAAAAGGATGTGTATATGCGTCCCCAGGAATTTGCCAAATATTGAAGAGTAACTTCGTTATCTGGTGAGTTCCATAGCACACTATAGCTTAATGTTCACGGCCTATTATTTTCCTCTTAGGGCGGTCTAGGGATCGTCGTGGTGTTGAGGGAGAGCACGCTACCGTGCACACGTTTACTGGTGTGCTATCCATGATGATAATTTGAGATTTATGAACGTACAGATTTATTTACAGAATATACAAGATATATAGCAAACTGGTCTGGCTCAACAGCGATCGTTCCACACTATTTATTTACATGACCACTGACAGCAAATTATAGTATAGCAACGTGTACACGAACCTCTGCACCGTGGAGCAGGAGCCTAACAGCAGTATATTGTACGACGTATTGCACGCTACAAGCACGTATTGTTATTACACGCGTTATACACGCTTGGCGCTGAGCCGCCAGAGCTGTAGCTGATTGCTGGTTGGGGGGGGGCCATACTAGCCTGCAAATAGGTCATGATTAGTCGTTCTATTGTGTTGCCGTGACCCTGTCAAATCTCCTCGCGAGAACACAACGCCACTTTCCTACATTCCAACAGAGCAAACGCAGCGGCAGCTGGGCAATCGCTGCTGCCTTTTGTGGAATCATCTAGGCGCGCTACTACGGTTGTATTAATGGCAAAGATTTGGAGAATCGTGTCGTATGTTTTAGGTTGTATCTCCCTCGGATTGCGGCTTGTGTCTACGAGGCAAAGCTTCGTTACGATGATGGGCGAATGTACTGTGTCCGATTTGAGCTTCAAGTTGGATGAGTTCACGGTAGTTAAATCGATAGGTATTATAAGGCTATTAAAGACGAATTTCCTTGTTTGATTGTTGTCACACTCCTCCCTTTATAACTCCTTGATATATATATATAGTATATGTGTTGTTCTCACTGAGCCATGCATGAACATTCACGTTGTTGATGTGGACAAGCATGATTAACAAAGCACGACAAGTTCTTAACGACTGATTACTGATTATTGATAGATTATTACAACTACCAGTACAAGTAGTGGTATATCCCACAATAATCCCATTGGTTATTAAATTTAGGTAAAAATTGCACAAGACTTTCACACTGTTTACGAATCCGACTGAATCACAGAAAAAATGTCATCATATTACAGAGCGGTGCAACTGACCACGACCGCAAACATTTGGGCCAACCTACCGTGTCCAGTTAAACATACTTATCCGTAGTCACGTCAGGCAATGCAAGAATGCGATTATCTTTTTAATCTGCTGGTCAATGGGTCTGACAGTGAAACAAACCTACTTTTGCAGGACCCGCTGTTTTTTTGTCAGTCGTAATGATCGAACACTGAACAATCAGTAATGAACACAGAGTGACCATGTTGTGGGAACAATCATGGTGGACAATGGGTAACAGCGCAAATAAAATCTTTTGGACCTGCCCCTAAAGAAACGCCTACACCCGACAGGTCCGTCGAAAAATTTTCGCATTTTGCCGCGCGCAAACCCCTCCCCCCCCCCCGACGCCTCGAACCTCCGTCGCTCGACAACGAAAGCGGCCGCCGCTGCTTGCCATTCCCGCCGCTCTCACCCTATGACGGCCGCCTCTACGGCCTGGCCACGTCGAACGAGCGTCCTTCGCACGCGAGCACCAGGTCGTGTGAAGAGTCGTCCTCAGAGCTCGGCGAGGCTGAGCTCCGCGACGATGTCCGGCAGACGACAGCCAGCACGCGTTGCGCGGACGCGACCACACGATTCCATGAGGCCGCAGCAGCACTATCTCTTCTGCGATAAAACGAGAACACGCGGTTAGCGCTTTACCCTCCGCAGAGAGGTCACCTGTTGTCTATAAAGGCCACATTTAGCGTTTTCCATTGAGATCAGCTTGTATAGCGTGCCACCACCGCAGAAGAGGTCGCCTTGTTTTACGGAGACGATCCTCCTCGAAGACAGTAGGTGCGCTTTAGCGCATACCTCTGCCAGAGAGGTCACTGTTGTCTATAAAGGCCACATTCTAGCGTTTCCCGAGATACGCGTTAGCGCCGCACCTCCGCAGCAGAGGTACACTCGTTTTACGAGCACGATCTTCCTGCCGAAGAGACGAGAACATGCCGTTAGCGCGCATCTCCGCAGAAGAGGATTGGCTGTTTTACGGGCACGATCTCGCTCCGCAAGACGAGTAGATGGCCGTTAGCGCTACCTCTGGAGAGAGGTTCACCTGTTGTGCTATGAGGCATATTTTAGCGCTTTTCCAAGACGACGCGGTTAGGCGCGTACTCCGTTACTCCGGTAGAGAGGTTTTGCCTGTTTTTTGCCTAATTTTAATGGGCGGTCATGAATTATGATGTAGTTATTTGGTGACTCAAAGGCTGAAACACTAGATTTCTCTATCTGGTATCACCATCATTACCACACATCTTACAATCTTCATTTGGCTGGCATTAGACAGGCAAGTGGCTTTCTATATTAAACTGAAGGGGGGGCGTTTGTTCGCAACTACATGTATCCCCCCGTGTTCTCCCCAGATGTGTNGTGGTGGAGGGAGGGCAGGCTGTGTTACTGTGTGGTGGAGGGAGGGCAGGCTGTGTTGCTGTGTGGTGGAGGGAGGGCAGGCTGTGTTACTGTGTGGTGGAGGGAGGGCGGGCTGTGTTACTGTGTGGTGGAGGGAGGGCAGGCTGTGTTACTGTGTGGTGGAGGGAGGGCGGGCTGCGTTGCTGTGTGGTGGAGGGAGGGCAGGCTGTGTTACTGTGTGGTGGAGGAGGGCAGGCTGCTGTGTTACTGTGTGGTGGAGGNATAGTGCATGAGAGATGTGTGGGGCATAGTGCATGAGAGTGTGTGGGGCATAGTGCATGAGAGATGTGTGGGCATAGTGCATGAGAGATGTGTCTCTCATGCACTATGCCCCGCCCCACACAATAGTGCATGAGAGATGTGTGGGGCATAGTGCATGAGAGTGCCCCACACATTAGTGCATGAGAGATGTGTGGGGCATAGTGCATGAGAGATGTGTGGGGCATAGTGCATGAGAGATGTGTGGGGCATAGTGCATGAGAGATGTGTGGGGCATAGTGCATGAGAGATGTGTGGGGCATAGTGTAGTGAGAGATGTAGTGGGCCTATAGTGCATGAGATATGTGTGGGGCTATAGTGCATGAAGATGTGTGTGGCATAGTCACGCAGAGATGTGGCAGGGGCATAGTGCACATGAGAGATGTGGGGGGCATAGTGCATAGAGAGATGTGGTGGGGGCATAGTGGGACTGAGAGATGTGTGGTGCACTAGTGGCATGAGAGATGTGATGGGGGCATAGTGGCAATGAGAGATGTGTGGGCAAATAGTGCATGAAGAATGTGTGGGACATAGTGCATGAGAGATGTGTGGGCATAGTGCATGAGAGATGTGCGTGCTACATTATGTGGATGAGAGATGTTGTGGGGCATAGTGGCAGGAGAGATGTGTGGGGCATAGTGGCATGAGAGATGTGTGGGCATAAGTGGCACTGAGAGATGTGTGTCGGCATAAGTGGGCATGAGAGTATGTGTGGGGCTATAGTGCCATGAGAGATGTGTGGGGCATAGTGCAGAGCATATGTGTGGGGCATAGTGCATGAGAGATGTGTGGGGGCATAGTGCATGAGAGATGTGGGGCATAGTGCATGAGCAGATGTGTGGGGCATAGTGCATGAGAGATGTGTGGGGCGTGGTGCATGAGAGATACATTGGTTGTGATGCAAGAGAATTTTAGACTGGAGTGAGCTGTGTTTGTACAGTGACTGTATTGTGGTTATTGTGTTCTCAGTAAACTATCATTTTCACTGATTTGTTTATTTATATTATTAGCTCATCTGACATAGTCAGATGCAGCTTGTAGAATCGCATGAGCGTGCGTCCGTCCGGCCGTGCGTTCGTGCGTTAACAGTTGGGCACAAATCTTAACTGCTCGACAGACCGTCACGATATTTGGGACGCGAGGGGTAATCCGAAAACGAGTTGGGATGTTGAAGCTGGGGGTCAAACAGTGTTTTCATTAGGAACCGGCCACCGGCCGAATTGACCGTCTACTCTGCTGTTTCGGCCGGTTAGAATTGATTGGCTCAAGTATGATATTAAAAAATAAAAATAAAAATTTATTATATTTTATTTGCATTTAGTTTGCTCTAATTATTCTCCAAAGTGAAAGTGTTTTATGAGCTACTGCTAATAAATCAGTTGAATATATTTGTATGCATGTTATGTGCACAAGAAGCATTGTTTTGTTTTTGAGTAACGCTATTTACGTAGTTCTCTAACTCTTATAATTACTAAATCGTCATAATTTGGAAACTTTTGGTGAACTCTGAATGTACCAGGAGAAACCAAATTGGAAAAAAGGACCATACTGTAATCCAAATGTGTCTGTTTACTGCAGCCTAGAATACACCAGATTGCATCTCAGAGCATCTAGGTTTTTTTTTTAAAGTTG